GGCGATTAAGTATCCCGGAATGCTTTGGGGTTGGAAGGGACCTCTGGAAATCACCCAGTCCAACCCCCTGCCAGAGCAGGGTCACCCAGAGCAGGTCCCACAGGAACGTGTCCAGGTGGGATTTGAATGTCTCCAGAGAAGGAGACTCCACCACCTCTCTGGGCAGCCTCTTCCAGCCTCTGCCACCCTCACAGGAAAGAAGTTCCTCCTCGTGTTTAGGTGGAACTTCCCATGTTCAAGTTTGTGTCCATTTCCTCATGTCCTGTACTGGGCACCACTGAAAAAAGACCCACCCCATCCTCCTGACACCCACCCTTGAAGTATTTATAGGTGTTGATCAGATCCCCCCTCAGTCTTCTTCAGACTAAACAGACCCAAGTCCCTCAGCCTTTCCTCTTTAGAGAGATGTTCTCGTGAGGTTTCTATGTGGTGCAGTGGCTGAAAACTTATTTTAAATGGAGTAAATTAAAAGAAAATGTCGTGAGACAACGATATAGTACATTTTCAATTTGTTGCTCCTTTCTCTGGGGCTTCAGAGTTGTGAAGCTCTGTGTTCCTGCTGGTGGGGCCTTCCTGACTGGCACCTGAAGTGTCCATGTAAGATGGTATGAATGTTGTCTCTAACGTCACTCAGTGACAGTGGTGTCTGTTCTTTATTTCAGGTCAGTCCCTTTATCAACGAGAACACGAGGCAGAAGTTCCTCATTTACAGTGGGAATAACTACCAGGGCCCGGGGGGGCTGATAGACTACGTGGACAAGGATGTGATCCCAGACTTCCTGGGAGGAGACTGCATGGTGAGCTTTCCTGCCTGCTGGGCTGGTGGGTCCCCCATGTGCCATCTCTCTCCATTCCCACCTCACCACCCTGCCCTCCCACACCCTCTGAAAGATGGTTAAAGCCCTGGTGTGGCTGGGATGGGGCTGCTCCAAGCACAGTTCATGCCCAGGAGACCTCACCCTGAAGCGGTGACAGTGTCCTGAGAAGGGGTTAGAGATCAGCTCTCTAAACAGAGCTTAGAGAAATTGTTGTAATTAAAGTAAACTTAGCCCCACTGTGAAATCTTATGCCAGCTGAGGGTGTCATCCTGCGTGTCTGACACCAGGCGAGTGGTGGTGGTACAGATGGCTTGATACTTTACCAGTAGATGAGCGTGAACCCTCACGTTTGTTTCTCTGACCCTTGCAGTGCACTGTCCCGGAAGGTGGGCTTGTTCCCAAGGCCCTTTATCAAACAGAAGAAGAGTCGGAGAACTCGGATCACATCCGGTTGTGGACAGAAACCATCTATCATTCCGCCAGTGTCCTCAGAGGAGCTCCACACGAGGTACAGACCAGAACTGCGTGAGGCTGAAGGAGGCGCAGACCTGGCACTGGGGCTGTGTTCCTTTTGTGAAGGGTGTCTAGAACAGCAAAGGGCTCCTGAAGTGTGAGCAGCAACAGCAACGCTGCCTGTCTTGCAAAGGCTGACACCAGCTAGAAGTGTGGAAATAAAGAACTGCAGTTTCATAGAATCACAGAATCATAGAATTGCCCAGGCCAGAAGGGACCTCCAAAGGCCATCTAGTCCCACCCCCCCGCAGTCAGCAGGGACACCCCCAACTAGACCAGGTTGCCCAGGGCCTCGTCGAGCCTCCCCTTGAATATCTCCAGGGAAGGGGCCTCAACCACCTCCCTGGGCAACCTGTTCCAGTGCTCCACCACCCTCACAGTGAAGAACCCTCTCCTCATCTCCAGTCTAAATCTGTTCCCCTCCAGCTTGAAGCCATTGCCCCTCGTCCTGTCACTCCAGGCCTTTCTAAACAGGCTCTCCCCAGCCTTCCTGTAGGCTCCCTTCAGGTACTGGAAGGCTGCTATTAGGTCTCCCTGGAGCCTCCTCTTCTCCAGGCTGAACAACCCCAGCTCCCTCAGCCTGTCCTCGTAGCAGAGGTGCTCCATCCCCCTGATCATCCTTGTGGCCCTCCTCTGGACCCCACCCCCAGTCTGTACTGATGGTGAGGATTGTTCTGGCCCAGGTGCAGAACCTTGCATTTGCTCTTGTTGAACCTCATGAGGTTCACCTGGGCCCACCTCTCCAGCCTGTCCAGGTCCTTTTGGATGACATCCCGTACCTCTGGTGTATCGACAACACCACACAGCTTGGTGTCGTCCCCAAACTTGCTGATGGTGCCTTTTGAGAGGTGTTTGAGAAACAGTATCTCTTGTCTCTACTATGGGCTGATCCTCTGGACCACCTTCTTGGGGAAATAAAGCTCCCTTGGTTTCCCTTCTGATAGCACAGCTTGTGTTTTCGGTGGCGTAGCTGGGGCAGAAACACTGGGGGTATAGCAAGTGTAATGGGAATGTCCTGATTGTGGGGGGGCATCACAAAAGAGAATGTCCAAAAAAGGAGCACTTAAATGTCAAAATTATATCCTCCTTAGAAATCAAGACTAGTAGCTTAATTGGAGGATTACAGAGAAAAGTGTGTTTGCAGGGCCGGGAGGGAGACACTGGCAGCCCCCTGAAGACCTGACTCCTTACAATGTGCCTGTTGTGTTCCCTGCTCAGATAGTTGTGGAGATTTTGGAAGGGGAATCCGTCATCACCTGGGACTTCGACATCCTGAAGGGAGATGTGGTTTTCAGCCTCTTCCACTCCAAACGAGCCCCTGAAACAAGTCATAAAGAAGCCACATTACCGAGTACCTCTGCTGCTGGGGACAACGTGCAGCTGATTGACAAGACGTGGGTCCTGGGGGTGGATTACAGCAGGGTGGAGTCTCCCCTGGTCTGCCGGGAAGGAGAGAGCATCCAGGTCAGGGGGGTTTGGGTCTTGGTGTGGATCTTCCAGTCCAGGCAAACCCCAGAGGGGTCTGGTGGGCGGTGGGGGGAAGGAGTTGTTGGTGTGGGAAATGATGGATTGCTTGGAAATAGAATCACAGAATCACAGAATCTTAGTGGTTGGAAGGGACCTCTGAGATCATCGAGTCCAACCACAAAAAAAAAAAAACCAAAAAAACAAAAAAACAACACCCAAAAAAAACCACCAAAACAAAACACACCACACCAAACGCCCACCAAAAACACCGCACCCACCAACTAAACCCCACACTCAACACCTCACCATAAACCAATAACCTTGGGCACTAGAGCATGCCCTGAAGAGCCATGTCTATACATTTCTTAAATACCTCCAGGGATGGTGACTCCACCACCTCCCTGGGCAGGCTGTTCCAGGGCCTGACCACTCTCTCAGTAAAGTAGTTCTTCCTAATATCTAATCTGAATCTCCCTTGCCGCAGCTTCATACCATTTCCTCTGGTCCTGTCATTATTCCTTTGGGAGGCCAACCCACGCCTCTCTACAAACTCCTTTCAGGTAGTTGTAGAGGGCAATGAGGTCTCCCCTCAGCCTCCTCTTCTCCAAACTAAACATGCCCAGTTCCC